GTTTCATTAGATACTTCTTCATTCGTTCTTCACTCCACAAATTTCAGACTTATGAAGTAACTTCATTGTAATTATTGCTTAACAGTGGTTCACTCTAGTATTCTCAAACTAGCATACAGTAATTGTTTGGTAGGGACTTAAAATGACAGTTGGATATCTATTTGTTTATTTGTTACATTTGCAAAGAGGATGGTCATATATTGTGTTGTGGATTCTGTTTGGGGAGTCACTAAAGTTTTTTTCTGACAATCCACAGTTGGCAATTTCCGACTTTTTTATGTTTTGTACTTTTATTTCAAAATCTAATTTGAGTTTGAGTAGAATTGATAACCATCATAATGGTTTAGTCCACAAACCATTATTAAAAAGTTGTGATAAAGTACAAATTACAGAAATCCTACAACATTAGCAAAATAGTATAATAAATCATTGTTTTTATATTTATTGTCATACCTTTTTTTTTGTGTGTTTTTTAGCACACTTCCTTTTTTGAAACATTTTCAGAGGACAGTGAAAAAATGTAAGTAAATAGTAATATACAGTACAAAAGGCAATAGCCAAAAGCATTATATAAAGCAGAGAATATTTCTTTTATGGGACATCTGGCTCTCATAAAACCACTCCTCTCCCTACCCCTTCTAAGGAAATCTGGTTTACAGTAATATATTGTCCTATGTATAATGGTAAAAAGGTGGACAATTCTACCTCATACATTGTATTTTATTGTTGAATCACCTACAATTGGAATAAATCATGTTCCAAATTAATGTTCCTTACCAGAACTAGATCAAATACATTCAATGATCTTGATTTATCACATCCTTGTTCCTATCAGTCCCCCACTAAGACTAGAGTGAGATCTTATCACGTTCACTCATAAGAATCAAGTGTATATTCATGTATAGTACTGAACATACTGTAATAATGAGATTTACATTGCCTTTGAATCATTAATTTGTCGGAAAGAAAACTTAACCAAACAACGAAATATGAATTTGAATTTTTTCTTAAATAAATGGAACAAGAAGAAATAAATACAGTAGTATTTTATTTCAATGACATCTGAGTACTTCAGTTAGCATAAATTACTACTGTAGAGCTAAACTTTACTACAATAAACCACTGTAGAATTAAAGCTTAGAAATAAATAACATGTAATTGTAATAAAAGAAGTATTTGATTTATTTTCTAAATGGTTTATTTTACCATAATAAACATAGTCACACTAGGCCTACTAAAAAAACTTGTCTATATTTTAAATTGTAAATCATGATTACATTGTGCAGAAGAATGGCAAATTATTTGAAAATCAGTACATGGATTTTTAATCTAAGGTGCTTCCTTAAGTCAAAAGAAATATAACTCTCTTTTTGAACCTAACTTGCATTAATCATTTTACAGGGAATTAAAAATAAATAATAATGCGCACTTCACAGTTGCAGTACCTACTGTACCCTGTATTCTGTAGGACAGCTTGACAAATTCTATCCACCACTCACCATCAATGGACATTTTCAAGAATTGAATAAAGTTATAAACCCATCTTTTCAGTTAACTTTAAACCACCACAATCATTGATAAATTAATAATAAATTAGTGATAAGGGCAAATAGAAAAAGTTAATAGGTTATCACTCCCGCTCGCGTCAACAATTTGGAAAATATTGATGCGGGAATAAAAAAAAATGTTAAGCCGCATCAATTATTTCAACAGCATAAAATAACAATGCAATTTGTGACTGCAAATACATTTTCTTTAAAAACTATAAAATTAAACCAGTTTTTAAACAATAAATTACTATTAGAGTACAAAATTTACTATTAGTAGAGTAGCAAAATATAAACAGTCCCTCCCTTTCTAACATATTTTTGTTGATTGTTATTCCACATTGTTTCAATAGATACTCCTTCAGGAATTTAATGTTCTTTATGGTCAGCTTCACACTATAGCCATAGTATCCGGATCAGAAGGTAACCATTAGCGCTAACCGTAAGCAGGGTCCAACTGTTACTGTTAGCAGAATCCCGATACGCTAATGGCTAAAGTTGAGCATGTTTCTATCGTTAAACAATTACGCATTTCCAATTTCCAGTTTCCTTTTGGCCAGTGATTCGATCATCATCTTCTTGTACAGGTACATGAATGTACAGGTTAGCGCATGTTTTTAATCTGGATCCTGCTTACCGTTAGCTAATGTGTATGAACATAGCCTACTCAATCAATATATTGTTTTTGTTCATTTAGCCATGAATGAGTGAAGACTATCTTTCTCAATAGATGCTTCACTGAACTATTTGATTAACTCAGCCCAGACAGTTGTAAAATCATCTCCATGGTTTGTTGTTGCCCAGTCAATGGTTTGCCCTTGAGGTTTAATACTACTGTATACCTTTTACAGTACATCTGTTTTGGGAGATTCATTACACATTCTTAGGAGTCTATCTTACTGCACTCAGTGGTAAATCCAGGAATAAAAAATAGAGTCCAGGGGAAGGGGCATGAAGCCAAATGTACAAATGAAGGGTCAATAACCTAAGCCCCACCATAGTTAGGGTTGAGATAAAAAATGTTATGTTTATAAACACATCTGGATTTACACTTAAACTTTATACTCATTTTTCTGAGAAATGAAATTATTTTTTGGTGAGGTTATTTACTATTGCTATTAATTTACTATCCTAGTACAGTGTAAAGTACTGTAAACCTGCTGGTAAATAAAAATTGTTTTTATGAAAGAACTTAAATCTTTGTAATATACTGTGTCATTTATGTTTCCACCTTTTTCTTAGGCACTGACAACAATCTTTCAGACGATAATTATTTTCGCCGTCTATTTTCCATGAAAAAATCCTTTTTTCTTTTTTTTTTTTTAATAGCAATATTAACTTTTTTTAGGCTCCAAAATTTTATATAAGGGTTGGGACGTGAAACTACCAATTAATTTTATTGGCCTAATTATAGGTTTCCATTCAGTTTGGGGTTGTCATTTAAAAGACATTTTTTTTTTATTTTGTTTATTTCAGCAATACAGTAAAAACCACAATTATAACAAAATTCAGCATAATTTAAATAATAACATTTTCCACAAAATAAATCAATTGTATATTTATAATATTATTGAGGTCCATATTTACCTACCTGTCATTCAGGGCCATTTATTCCTGGGCCACTTATTCGGAGGTTGTTTTTGTTTTTTTATTGAAAAATTAATTTTAAAAAATAAAAAAAATTTAAAAAACAGTAAAATTCTTAGTTTTATGTGCAGGTGTGACATGTAATTAGTACATTCTATAATACATACAGCACACTACTGTACAATAATAATTTCCTATGTTTGAAAAGTGTGTGTAAAAAGAAGAACAATATAAGAACATTTTGAGACTGAAATCAGCAAAAAATGAGAAAAATGAGTCTGGGAAAAAAATTTTTACTGGTTCTTATATAGACAAAGAGTTTAACAACCATTCATATTCCCTCAAGTGTACATGTACAGTACACCATAACTATAATATTATGTTTTCTTATTTCTATTCTTATGCCGATGCTTTTAGCAGGTGCTATCTGAACTTCCTTCTATTTTATTTCATCACATTTTCAATAGCCACCTACACAATTCTGCTTAGAAATACAGTACTAACATGCTTCATTAAACTTGGCAAACACATGGCATATTTAGGATAATAACCAAGGTTTTATATCATTAAATCAATGGTGAAAACTGAATACAGAAGGTTACGAGCATCATAGGCCTATAGTATTTCTGTATTACTACAATATCTTGTATTTAATTAACCTTCCAGTGTGATGATTATTACACAGTGCACATTATTGTCAAATTTGTGGTAATAACATTACATTTCTAACAAACATTTAAAAAAAAAATCTGGAATGGAAGAATAAAAACAAAGTCATATTAAAATTAGCAGACTTTAATGCAGGAATACAAAATAAAAAAACCCATTCCTGTGTCGGCCTCATCCCCCCTCGTACCTTGTAATTTCATAGTGTTTGACTCGATGTTTCCCTCCCCAGCATAATTTACCCTGGCTACAGTGTTGCTTATATTTGTCCTTAATCTAGTTATTATGAATATGAATTGCTTTCTCTTTACATTACAGCAATACTACATAATTTATTCATTTTCTACTGTACCCTGTATGTTTATACAGTATATCAGTTCTAGTCAACCTAATGTCTAAACATAATGTTCAGAACTGAAATGAAGAATGAATGAATAAAGTTTAATGTCAGTTCTATCAAAATGTCTAACATCAAGCCATCGTTGAGTATTCAAAGCAAGAGGTAATTTTTTTCTTTAATCTGATCTCACGTTCAAGAGCATTTTTAAGTGGATTCAAAGTACATAATCATCGATCAATTATTCTTTAAAATATAAATGAAGTAAAATTACATTAATAAAGTACTAACAACCTGATACATTTATAAATTTCATCAGTTTTCTTACTAAAATTTTAAGAATTTCTTTAGGTTTTTCTTTATAAAAATACTAAAATTAATACTGTATCTAGCTGTAGAATTTCAAATGGTACCTTTTTTTTGTATAAAGTAATCTTTTATGTCATCGTTCTTGTTTTTTGGGCAGATGAAACCATTTAGTAATTTAGAAACTTGTTCCTCCTTTATCTGACCCCCTCATCTGTATGTTTGTTCTTTTGATGTTTTTTGAGGAAATAAATATTATTATATTTATTTCATGTTTTTCACACCAATTTGTGTTGTTGATTTTTGTAGATCATGTAGTAAGTAATTGACACGTTGTTGGAGAAAGGCTCCTAGCATATCTGATCATTAATAATAATTAATAAACTCATAATAAACCAAGTAAATATTTAACCAAGCACAACATATTGTAGGCCCTACTATACTGTACATCATAAAGCATCAACAAGTGTGTGACCTCTCTCAGGATGAGGCTGTTGTTGAACTCTGAGGCTACTGTGTTAAGCCCCATGGTGTTACTGTAGCAGAAGAAACCTTACCTGCAAGGTGTTTTATAGTAGTGCTGATCTGTCGACTTGCTCCTCCAACACGCCCTCCAAGTACATTCCGATAATTAGCCATTCTAGTTTGATGTGCAAGTCTGCACAATCTACATGTACCTCACTGACAAACTTATCCTTATATCGTAGCACTGGAAAAGTTTTGTTTCTGTTACCATGGAAATGGCTGTAGGAAGATTAACAGGCTGGGAAGTTGGCTCCATGTTCTGATGCTAAGTAGGCTGAAAGTTGAACTTGATGCCCTCTGCTTGAAACCTGAGTACAAGAGATGAAAGTGAATTATAAGCTAACACTCCAGGGACGACCTACGGAGAGGCATGCCAATGCTAAACATTCAACTTCCTCTATACCATGCATGCTCTACAGTATACACTTTGTTTTTATAACAGCACATTTTATAAGAACACGGAGGCTGAAATTGCTTAAAAATTAAGAACAAAATAAGAAGAAATTGAGGATAGGAAAAATGTCAAATGAGGTTTTTATTTTAAAACACAGAAAACCAACAAACCTTATGTAATGTATTCTATACTTATTTCTTATTAACGTAATACAATACAATTTTTGAAAAGTGTTTAAAAATAAGAACAAATAAGAGCATTTTGAGGCAAAATCGGCAAAAACATAAGAACACTCATCCTGAGGAAAAGATTACTAGTTCTTATAAAAAAAAAAAAATAAGAACATTCATCCTGAGGAAAAGATTACTAGTTCTTATTTAAAAAAAAAAAGTGTACGTTAATACACAGAGAAGGAATGTAATTCATTTTTCACATTTTGTTCATCTACCTATCCTGCCCTTTTTTCTAATACATTTGTACATATTTTTTTGTAGTGATACATAATAAATTTCATTTAATATTTTATCTATCTTTTTTCTCTTTTTTTCATGTTTATCTTTATTATCGATACTGTAAAACCTTGAATTGCAGCCCTGGGATTCTTTTTTCTTTTTGCGAACTTTGAATGGGCCTCTTTTCACTGCTACTTTTGCAAAGTAAAGAGGGGGGCTTCTTTCCAAAATGAAAGCTGTAAATTTTTGGAATTTGTACTGTAGTCTAAAACAATAAATAAGGCAACTGTAACACCAATCTGTATCATGGAGTGTACTTAACTGGCATTAAATAAACAACCTAAACTACTGTATAAACCAGGCTTGTTTTTAATTTATTTTCTGAAATTAATATACAGTGTGTGTACTGTACTATCTCGAAAGAAGCTTGCTATCTTAAAAAGAAGCCCACCCATGGGCTTCTTTTCGAGGCTAATTTTGGAAACTAAAGAGGGAGCTTCAATTTGAGATGGGTTTTGTCTCGAGTTTACGTCCACTGGGCTTCAATTCTAGGTTTTACGGTAATTTAATACCTGAGTTTTGAGAGTCAGATTTGGTTCTGCAATTAATGTATTTATGTAAACTGTATGGTTAAATCTTTGAAAAATATAATTTAATAAAAAGATTAATTACTTGCCTCAAAGATACATTGTTTTGAAATTTCTTTGTTTTTATAATACATATGCACTATTGAAATTATCTTGAAATGCATTCTATAAAACTGACATAATAAGAATGCATAGGGCTTACAATTTTATACCCTACTTAAAATGTATGGTAATCCAAGAGATTATTTCCTTAACAACTTATACAAAGGAAGCAATCAATTCAAACCATAACTCATCGGTGTTCATATTTTATTTTCAACAATTTCATTATTATTAAATCATCGGCAATATCTATAGTAAAATATTACTTAGCTCATAATTTTTTAAATAATATCTCATTTCATTTAAAGAACTGATTCTGTGAAACATATTGGAAACTAGTTCAAACTAATTCCCCACTTCTTGTCAGATGAGGGAGCACATCTGCCTGGTAACAGTTTGGATGGTGGCATTATCTAAAAGGAAGAATGCAACACTGCTTCCCCCCAACCCCACATCCCACCCTACTAAAAACACACCTTTTTCAATAGTTCCTCTCACCTTGCTTAGACCATACAGTACTGTATTTGTTTATTGTTTTGCTTGTTTTCTTATTTTTCTATTTCTTTACTGCATAAGTTAAGTTAGCACACTTTGCTTGGGTTTGGTTCTATGCAAGCTTTACTTGGGGGGATGTTTTTGACTTGTGGAGATGTTTTTGACTTGTGGAGAGTCGCTTACAGAGCTTCGTACCTGAAAAGAAAGGCACTATACCAGTAACAAGAAACAAGTACTGGAAATTTGCTGAGCAAAGAAATGATGCTCAAATACATATTTTATTTTTCCAGTGTTTTTCTTGTGGATTGAATTTTTATTTCCTGCTAAATATTACTCACTGTTTTTCAAATTGATATTGTTTTTCACAGAGGGTCCAAAAGTCAGTACTGCTGTCAGGATCACCAATATTAAATAAAGTTTAATTGAAACAAAATCACCTTATTTTGTCAGCTAATGAACCATCACCTTATACCATCAAGCATCCCACTATTCTTTGCACCCCCATCACCCCCTCCCCCACCCATGTCAATACTGCATAGGCCACTGAGCGGGAATCCCGCTTTTGTGACTCCCAGACTGCAAATACACCAAATAAAAATTTTAAAATATAACATAATAAAGTTAAGTACTATGTCAGTTATAAAAATCATGCCTTTTCTATAGTAATGTTTGATCTGTCCTATTATAGTACAGTACCATACATCAAGTCTATTTGCATTTGATTCCAAAGTAGATATCACTATCACATAACATACACTGTAAACACAATTGTCCACTTATGAGCTTGTCAATGGTAAAGGTCAAGAGAGGACATTAGAATTTCAGACAACTTACTTACAAATTAATGAATTACAACAATATAAATATGAATATCATAAAATATAGAAGAGTTAGCTCCCCCATAACAAAAATTATTAGTTTATCACCCTATCAAAGAATTAAAAACTGATGAGGGAGGGAGGTTTTTTTTTTTGGTGCTAACCCTGCCCCCATTTTACGAATGTTCACAAGTAAATCAATGGTTGGGAATACATGAAATCAGAATTTCCCCAAAAGTGATGAGGGAGGGGGTGATAAACTAATAATTTTTTTATGGGGCCTTGCTCAGTCGGCTAAACTGTAGATCAATATTATAGAATGCCTTTACCTACTAACCAACATCCATTTATCTTCAAGTGTTTTTCTTTAGAAAAGGTTTAAAAGCTTACTTTTTTTCAATCTCCTACCAATTGATTGACACAGAAATGTACTGTAAATAATTTTTTTCTTTTACTGTACAATTTCATAAGTTAAATTTATCATGTGCACTTTGAGTAATGTTAACGTCATTACCACCACTGCACATTGCACTTGCTGTGATACCGGCGCTTTACAAATTTTTGTTGATTGATTGGTTGAAACTGGTGGTACATGTGGTCACTTTGTGCGCTGAACAGTGATGATCGCTTGTCCCCCCCACAGTGTAATTCCCATCGCTGCTCTCTTTGTGTTTCAGCTGGAGGGCTGAAATGCAAGTTTCAATAGCTCGGATGAGACATTAAGGCATTGGTCTTGTGTGCAATATGGCCCACACGTACATAAAGAATGCAGGAAACCTATCGGATATAGTACTGTACTGGATTGTCTCTTATTCTAGTGAAGTTAAGTCACTTAACTTTAAGTGACTTAAGCCTTTATCTAGCTATAATTGAGTGGATCACGTCAAAATTTTAACTAGTTAAGTGGATGTATATCTAGATAAAAGTTCGACGTGAACCAGGCTCTAGTGTACTGTACTGCCCAATTCACAACCAGATGGACCCCCTGGGAATATTGTAAATCCTCTTCGAACTTTATTGGGTTATCCTTGGTGTTTAAACGAAATAAATGTAGTCCAATCTAGAAAAATATGATGGATTTTTGTAATGTTGTTAATCAAACTCAACTGGTCTTCCTCATTTTAATATTGGTAAAGTTAAACCCAAACTGCTCTGGTTACAATATCTGGTTGTTAACACTCCTAATTGACTTGATAGTCTGTTCAAACTACTGTATACTTGGAAGATAATTATGCGGAAAAGCCAATTTGCAAGTTACAAAACTCAATTATGCAAACTGGAGATGTACTGTACTCTTCTGAACTGCACTCTAAATATGAAAACAAATTTTGGATTATAAGGCTTAGTGGCTGCGTGGAGTATTAATGACATTACTCTTGGTGACTGCAATATACATCTTGATATTTCAGCAAAATAGACAACAAATTTTCTGTTGTAATGGTACTGTTAAAAGCCTTCGGTTTGAATGCAACATGCCATTATTGCCTTAGACAATCCAATAATGGGTTTTTGAGGGAGAGAATTTACCAAGTTTTTGAGAAAGGAAATATTGGTGCTTTTAACTAAATGTTGCCTCAAATACTCAGATTTTTTTCTACAGTATACTTTAAAACAAATTTAATAAATATTTTCTCATCTGTCTTGATAGTTTTTGTTAAACAATTTTGCTAAATAAGAAAATAATTTTTTCTACCGTTTCTAATGGTATTTTAAAAGTACTTCACTAAAGACAAGGTGAGGAACAGAAAGGGGCAGGGGGTCCGGATCCCCTGTCGTCTGACATCACGACAAGGTCATCGGATCAAAAATTTTAAAAATAATAATTTGGGTATCCGAATATCGTTACCTTTATTGCCAATTCCTAATATTGTGGTCTAAAAGCACATATTTGGACCATCTACGCCCTGGGTATTCAACCTTTTTAGGCTGGTGGCGAGTTCCAATTTTGTTGAGGCCAGCGGCAAGCTGACATAAATTGTGCACTTTCTCTCCTCCCCACATCAATACGACTAGCCTACTCTATGCCATTAGATACTGTGAAGTACACTCAGAAAAAGCAGACTCTTGAGGCTAGAGCAGGCGGTCATGTTTCTATTAACAAAAAAACTCTGAAAAATTATTTATTTTTAGCAAGCCGGATCAAAAGTTTTGGCGGACCTGAATTTGCCCACGGGCCGGGGGTTGAATACACTGAATCTACGCCATATAAAAACTCTAATGGGATTTTTTATTCCGGGACACCGAACAAGGCTCTGGATGGATGAATTGATTTATTCCATGTAAACACCAAATCCTCGAAAGTCTAAAGACTTATTTCCAGTTTGGTCCTTCTGGTGGTTATTGGGCAGTACTACTCTTTTCCGAATAGTGTATTGCATTAGAACATGCACATACGCACTAATGCACACAGGACCAATGGCTTAACTCTCATTGAAAAGACAGTGCGCTATTGCAACCTGCATTTCAACCTTCCACCTGAAACACATGGAGAGCAGTGACAGGATTTGAACCGGTGACCTAGAAATCTCCACAATTCAGTGCACACATATTGGCTACCGCCAGTACAGCCGCTTCGTTTTGGACCCCTTGTCGGCAAATTTCTGGAGCTACAGTTGGGCCTGAGTGACCCATAACATAACGTGTTAATCAGAAATAATTTTTTTTTTAATTTATACATACATTTGCCGGAAATTTATGCAGCCGCCAATGCTTTGGTATTGCCTCTTATTTTTAAAAGAATATATTTGATTTAAATATGATTGTAAAATGAAAGAAATATACACTGACTGATTGCATTGATTGAATGATGATGATTAATGATGATGATTAATAATGATTTATTGACTGAATGATGATTAACTTACTGAAAGCAGCTTGAAAAAGTACAGTAATTGTGCTTTGGTAGGCAGGCCCTTTATGGATGCAGGGCTATAGCTAGTCGTTCTTCGTAAACCACGCCCACCTGTGCAGTAGTAAAGTCCTACTCAACGAAGACGACCAATCGAATAGAAAACTGGTATGACAAAACAAAATGGCTGCATAATTACCGCGATACACGATGCGTAATCAAGGTTGCTTCGGATTGTGGTTGTATGGGTTTTTGGTTTAAAAAATGTTATCCCGTTTTGAATTCTGTTAGCCTACAATTATTGTTTGACTTAATGTGGGTAATATTATAATTTTTATTTTCTGAAATTTAATCTAAATTATATTAACCCCAAATTTTGTTGCTAAACTGACCAATCAGCCATGATTTGGTCATGTGATAACTTCAGGCTAATTAACGCACTCTCGTTTACGTTAATTGTCGTTGTCAAAGAAGTTAATACGGAGCTTTCGATTGCATGACGACTGTAACGAACGTAGAATGTAATGATGTCACTAATAGTCATCTGCGCATGGGAGAACGTTAAGGTTACCTCATCGAGTAGGTTCTGGAACGCAATTTTGCAAAATCTATGTATAAAGAGAACGTATGGGAAGGACGCCAGGTAAGATGGTCACGCATGAGTGATTCCGTTCAAGCGTCGCGTCGTCGCACAAATCGAAACTTCCCTTATTTTACGAACCAGTCGAATGAAAATAATATTCAACGAAATATCGTAGTCAACGAAATGAACCAGTCGAAAAAGCCCATTGTATATTGCATCGCATGAGATGGTGGAGGGTATCGCATTACTACTTATTGCGCTGTACTTACATTTTAGGCAATATCATTACCTTGAAATAAAAACAGCTAATAAACTGTGATTTCGAATATGAATATTATGAAAACATACAACTGGATTAACTCTTTCATATTCATATTCACAAGCCTATTAAAAGGGGCCTGCAAACATCTGAAACTCAGTCATGTCTACACGACAGGCTGAGTCTGACAGTCACAATCTCATTCTCAGACATCTGGCAATGTTGAATAAATATTTCTTTTTTTTAATTATTATTAGAAAGACACAAGACACAGTTCAATACGTACCAATATAAAATGACACATAATAACGCCTTTAATTATCATCCATATGATAGGTTTTATATCCTCCAACTCCTGCCGAAAATTAATCCTGAATTTGAGACTAGCGCCATGTATTGTTATGTACTGAGAATTGAATAATCAATGGAAGAGAAAATGTAAACAATCCTTTGAAGGTGACGAAATTGCAGAGGGCGCACTTAAACTTTTTAAGCGTGCCATGCTCATTCATCAAGCATGATAGCCGAGCAAGGCCTGTTTTACTTGCAACGATAAAAAAAAATCAATTGTTCATATAAAAAACAAAAGAAATAAGAGAAGTTTTTACACTAGGACGATTTGAATACGAATTATCGTGTATACGATAACATAATGTTTTGACAAATCAATTCAAATGACGTCATAATCATGGAAAAACTATAGAATCGTATTTTCCATGATTTATGATGTCATTTGAATTGATTTGTCAAATATTTTCTTATCGAATACACAATAAAACGTTATCGAATCGTCTGTAAAATCTCTTCTTATTTCTTTTATTTTCTATATGAACATTGCTTCTTAGCTTTTTATCGTTATCGTTGCAAAAACAGGCCTTTTGTATAAAACTATACAAACAGTAAAACACATACGTAGGCGGCCCAGCTGAGCACTTACAATTTATTACTAAGAACTCCTTATGACTAATTTGAAAAAGGAATTAACTCAGGAGTATCGCTAGTGCAGGGCCACCATCTGCCCTCCGACAGGGGAGAAACAAAAAACAATCTCGTAGAGACATTCTAAACCCCTCTCTGGACACCCTCCAACATTTTCTGACAAACCCGGCTAACCACATTATCACGCTTTCGTCGAGGAAAATCTCCCCCACCCTCGCCGGATACATCGTCGCCCCCTTTTCTCCACCCTCTTCGGGAAAGTTTTCCTGTCCAACTAAAAATGGAAGAGGCCCTTTTTATCATCATCATCATCATCATCATCATCATCATGCGCAGACATTTTTGGAGTGTCTGCGCCCGTCGCCAAAACTCCGACTTCGGAGGTTTTGCGTACTATCAACCCTCCGGTTTCGGAGGTTGTGCGTACTATTCGCAAAACCTCCGAAATCCAAGTTTTCAAACTTTTATTCAAACCTCCCATATTGGAGGTTCTGCGTCCTTAGGCCTATACGCCAAACCTCCAAAATCAGGGTTTTCAAACTTTTATTCAAACCTCCGGTTTTGGAGTTTCTGCGTACTATACGCAAAACCTCCGAAATCCGAGTTTTCAAACTTTTATTCAAACCTCCGATATCCGAGGTTCTGCGTACTATACGCGAAACCTCCGAAATCGGAGTTTTCAAAATTTCATTCAAACCTCCGATTTCGGAGTTTCTGCGTAGGCCTACTATTAATTAAACAAGCTCTCTCTATATAGAGAGAGCAAAACTTTTCATCAACCCTCTCATTTCGGAGGTTCTGCGTACTTATACGCCAAACCTCCAAAATCGGAGTTTTAAAACTTTTATTCAAACCTCCGATTTTGGAGTTATAGTACGCAGAACCTCCAAAATTGGAGGTTTGAATAAAGGTTTGAAAACTCCGATGTTTGAGGTTTTGCGTATAGGAGGCACAAACTCCAAAATCGGAGGTTTGAATAAAGTTTGAAAACTCCGATTTCGGAGGTTTCGCGTACATTACGCAGAAACTCCAAAATTGGAGATTTGAATAAAGTTTGAAAACTCCGATTTCGGAGGTTTCGCGTATAGTACGCACAAACTCCAAAATCGGAGGTTTGAATAAAGTTTGAAAACTCCTATTTCGGAGGTTTCGCGTACAGTACGCGGAAACTCCAAAATCGGAGGTTTGAATAAA